CCAAACAAAAGAGATGCATCCTAACATTTTATTTCCATTCCTACAGACTTCTGCAATTTCCAGGCAAGTTTTCTGCAAGACAATAAACATCGGTAACTTACAATTAATTTAATTATCAAATATTTTGAGTATCTAACCTATAACAGTTATGCTAGATAAAAGAGATAAACGATAAACTTTTTTCCTATTCTCAAGGAGTCACAATCCTGTAATAGCACATGTGCCATCACTCCAAACCCTCTCTACGCAACCATCACTTATCAATCATGGGCCTCTCCCTTGAACTGGATTTAGCCTTGGCTCCAGGATTCCATGCAGTCATTACTAATCAAATGGACTTGTTTTAATAGACCTCATCACATTTCACTAAATCTCCATCTACACAAGTGATGATTCTCTTACCTATATTGAAACATAGAAATTTGTGGGAAACTGAATGTGGATTAGGAAGTAAAACCAAAAGAAGTAATGTCCCTGTCATCTTTTATAAACCAAATGAAGCATTATTTAAAGGGATTACGGAAACCTGGGGGGAAAATGATACTGCCTGCCAATTTTCAATCACCATTTTCCAATATTCTTAATTCTTAATTGAAGAGAATGAATGAAGCCTGTAAGAGCCACCTGAGTCTAGGGAATCAGATGATCCATTTTACATAAGTTCCCTTTAACGAACAGGGTTGTTTTATGGCATCAAGAATAAACTCAAAAGAAACTAATGAAATTAGTGAAAATAAAAAAAACAAGGCCATAAACATAAAATTCTAAAACAAAATAATATAGCTTAAATAATCTGATATTGATAATTAGAGTCCATTTTTCATCTAGGCAAAACTTACGAAAAGTTTGTTTTCCAACTGCAAACAAGTTAACTCCTGTTGACCATGGCTAACTATTCAACCGTTTAAAGATAAATACTTTGTCCACCACGCATCATGGTGTAGAACTCTAGAATCCTGAATTGGTACTTGCTTAAATGTTTAACCAGATTTAAACCACTTCCTAAGGAAACTCTAGGCCAACCTGCAAGTGAGAAGGATCTCTCCATGTCAAATGCTTCCGTATTTAAAAAAACAATATTAACCTTACTGTCAAACACAATTGACAAAGTAATCTACAGTTCCAACCTGGCTGCTCTCCTGGCAGAAACCAGCTTGAAATAACAGATACTAGAAATAGGAAAATCCACAAGCACTAACCATTCAATTCTCCTAAAGTCTCCACCTACCAAAAAGTATGCTTTCACCATCCATTAGGGAGTAATATAAGAGTGTCCTAAGGAGATACCCTATCTTCTTTAAAAACTACTATGGAAAATATTGTGCATCATGTTACTCTGAGTCTATTGTTCAAAACTTATTACTCAGAGAGTTTAGTACTAATAAAATGTTTCACTCACCTATCCATTTTGTCTTGACTGTGAGGAACCTCAAAGCTGAATTTTATGCCCACCTGCAGCAGCTATCCTCAGTTTTAGATTTTGGTACACTACCTCCATCTTTCTATTGCCTTCACTACTGTTTTTGTCTGTTTGTTTGTTTGTTGGTCTATTGATTTTTTTTATTGAAGCTACCTCAGAATTCTTTTGGAAATGAGCAAAGGATATAAATAATTTAATAATTTAATGTCTTTCATTACTATTTATTTTTGCCCTCCATGTCCCCCCAAACTTTCCCTTCTCCATATTGTTACACATGCTGTTCACCATGTACACAGTCCCTGCTATTTCTAGCATTCAACAACTTCTTCCAGAACCTGATGTTGAATTAACCACTCATTTGGCCCCTAACATACTTTTACGATATTAATTTTTTACGTGCACTGTCTTTTCATATGTATTGAAAAGACTGTGAGATCTTAATGGGTAGAGTACACCTTACATATCTTTATATTATCAGCAGCATCAAAACAAGCCTTGCACACTGCAGACATATGGTAAAGACACATTCTGTTAATGGGAAGATAAGTCAGCATTTTTAAAAGCCCACTGGATGAAACAATGTGGGAGGTAATTAGCTGAAAAAGAGGTTTCTATCTGAAAGCACTTTACAAACCAAAGAACTTAGATATGTAAATTACCTACCTAGTCAACAGTAATTGCATATATGTAAATATAAAGAAAGTTCCTGGAATGGCTACATTTGGCAGATTTAGAATAGAGAGGCTTTTAGTTGAGTTAAAAGGAATAAGACTTGTGAGGACACTCAGTCACAATGATGTACAAAGTGATGGTATTCAAAGAACAGCAGGAACATTTCCATGGGTGTAGTGAAGAACCACAAGCATCATTAAACAAGGAGGTAAACTTTGGCGATGGCTGGCAGAGGGCCTAGAGGCAGCAATGCAAAGCCAGCGCCTGGTTTTCTTTCAGGTAATTTAATAAGGTAAAAACTTCAGGAAATGATGCACAACTGCTGTGTCAAGACTAGATAGGAGAGAAAGCTAGAATATGAAGTCTGACAGTAAATACTAGAGATACATAGTAGACAGGGCACACTAGCTATCTGTACTCTTACTCACGTGGGAATTTAGAACAACCCATTTAAGAGCCCATCTTGGTAAGATTGCCATGATAGCCCTAAGGGCCACAGCAGTGGTTTCTACCTCATCTTCTTGAATCCGAGACCCCTCCTGAGCGTAAAATAATCTGTCTTTCAGTCTGTCTGTCTGTCTGTCTCTGTGTCTGTGTCTCTCTCTCTCCCCCTCCCTCCCTCTCCCGCCCCAATCACATGCAGGTGTGCAAATCCATATAGCTGTAATTTAATGTGTGACTTACCACAGAGGCAGTATAACAAATTGCTTAGGGCAACTCCTGGGTTCAAATCTCAACTCTGACTGACACTCATAAGGTATGCACTCTCCAGGAACATATTTAACCTTACTTTGCCAGGGGTAAAGCGGGGCTAAAACTAGAGATATATAAAAATGTTCAGTGGAATAAGAAGCTCAGTAAGCTTTCACCCAGTATTATTTTTAAAATGGACAATAAGGTATGGATTTTCAGACCCCTCATATTAACTTCACAGTCCACCAGAGATCCTTGATACACAGGTTGAGAGTCAGTGTCCTAGAAGGTAAATGCAAAGCACAGGAGAGCAGTAAATTCCATCAGCAAGGATTTATGTGGCAGCTACAAAGTTCAGCTGTGTCAGGGGCTACACAACACCCAATAAAGGGACAATGCAGAGGGTGGATGTTGGAAGGAAGTGGGAAACATTGGTGGAGGTTAAAAGGAGACTGAAATACAATCAGTAGTTTAAAGTTAAAAATGACATGGGGAGCCAAAAACATCTGGTCAAGGGTTTAGCATGCTGAACATGTGCTTAAGGAAGACTACCCCCTGGCAACCTACAGGACAAACTGGGAGAGTGGGGAGGGGACAACACATCCCTCACAACACATCCTACCAACCACATGACTGCACTCAAAGATCTAAATAGCGTTCTATTTCTAATCTGCATTGATTCATACTGCTGGTCACTTAAACTGGTATAAGTCATACCAATAGTTACATTAACAGCTTAACTAATTTCTTCATGATACTTAAAAAAAAATAAAATAACTTAACCTTCAAGAGCTTGTGTTAGCTTAATACACATCTGAGCTCCAAAGCCAGTCTAAGAAACTGTAATAAGGAGAACCACCTGCAGAAGAGTTAGAAAAGGATAGACAGTATATAGGCCCATGCCTAAATTTAAGGGTTCTCTTCCTCAACCTCAGATCCTTGACCTAACTATCTCTCTTACCAGTTTTCAAACACCTGTTTAAGTACCTCAAGCAAAGTAAGATGCATGAATAATCCGAAATTAATCAGGTATCCGTAGTTAAAGTTGTCTAATTTTTCTTTGACTCTATTATTTGACCTATTTCAACTTCTTCTGTAATGCTAGAGAGCTTTGAGAACAGAGTTTGAATTCCACTGTACACTTCCTAGTTGTTAGACTTCAGTCAGGCAAATCAAACTCCCATGCTAGAGTTTCCACATCTGTAAAGTGGGGATACCCCCTCAAAAAGTATTTGAAGAAACTAAATGAGTTAAAATCAGTCAAATGACTGAAAAATAGTAAACATAAAATGTATTAGCTATTATTATCATCTTTATTTCACAGTAATATGGTCAAACCACCAGACTCGGGGCACAGATACCACTTTTTCAACAAAAATACACGGGTAAAATTATTTGATTGGCAGTGAATCGAAAACAGCACAGCTTGATAAGACACTGTGGTCAGCCCCTACCTGTTGCAATACTTCTAAGAGATGACAAACTATGCTCAGCCTGCACATGGGGTTCCAACATTCAAGACTCCTCCTAATTACCTCACTCAAGGAATTCATTTATTTGGAACTGGAACCCTAGCATGTGTAAACATGAATCTCAGCAGCTAGTGATATTTAAAAAGTTTCTGTGAAGTGTGCTTAAAAAAAAAAAAAAAAAAAGTATTTCCTGGTCTGTGACTCTACAGCACTACTTTCTGTTATTTTCTCTTTTCTACATGGAAATCTGGTGAGGCCGAACCAAAACATCAAGGAATTCTCTTTTCAACTTCCTAAGCATTAGCAGCTATGTGTTCCTTATGCCGAGATAAAGCAGGGTGACTCCACACATATATTCACAGATATACGGTCCTTTTCCCTCCCAGGCACTACGAACCGCAGAGAACTAAATTCCAAGTGCAATCTAGAGGGCTTGGAAAATGAAGGGCTCCAGACGCCAGTCCGACAGGTGAGAGAGGGTAGTCTTAATCTTACTCAGGTGCGAAGACCACATGTCAGGCAGAATACACGCTCCCACGCCCCAAGAGAAGACCAGAAACATTCAATGCACTGAGCACACTCCCCACAAGCTACATCTTGTCTCCGACCTATCCGGCAGCAGACACCTTCCGGGACAGCCAGAAGGCTGTTCCTGGAAATGCAAGCAGCCCTGAGCAGAGGGCAAAGCGCACACGTGCCCAGGCAGCAGTGGGCCCGGCTCGGGCCCACGCCTCCGCACTCACCTGGCCGGTGATGCCAGTGATGAGCGCCACCTTCCTGGGCTTGCCCATCTCACCATCCCCGGAGCCCCGGGCGCTGGGGCAGCGTGCCGGCGCGTGTGCCATGTCCCCACGGGCGTGCAGAGGGCAGGGCTGAGCAGAGGCGAGCAGCGCTGAGGCAGTGGCGCCGGAGGGATGTGGAGGTGTGCCCGCGCGCTAGC